TTCTATTTGAAGTGAAAGTTTATTTGCAGATTACATGAATATATACATAAAAAACCTAAAGGAATCCACCAAAAACTGCTAGAAGTGATAAATGAATACAGTAAAGTGACAAGATACAAAATCAACATACAAAATTCTATAGCATTGCTATACACCAACAATGAGCAGAATGAGATAAAATGGAAGAAAACAATCCCATTTACAATAGCCACAAAATGTATAAGATATTTAGGACTAAACCTAACCAATGAAGTCAAAGGCCTCTACAAGAAAAACAAAAACTACAAAACAAAATAAAAAAATGACACAAAAAGTGAAAAAGACACCCCATGTTGCTGGATTACAAGAATTAATATAATCAAAATGTCAATTCTGCCCAGATTAATTTATAAATTTCATACAATCCCGATCAGATTATGAGAGACATTCTTTTTTTTATTTTTTATTTTTTTATTTTTAGAGGTTTTTGCTATAGGGCACGTGCGCTCACCAGAAAGACAGAGAGAGACAGTGGAGGAGTCTGACCCAGCAGGCCCCCCAGGATCTGTTTGAGCCTTCGACCTTTGAGCACAGCCTTGGTCAGCTCAGCACGTTGGCAAGGCCATTGCTGTATGCTCCCCAACCTATGAGCAAAGCTTGGGTCGAGTCAGCATGTTGGCAAGGCTGTTTGCTGTATGCTCCAGAGACTGCAGTAGCCTTGCTGGGAAGCGACCCCCCTCTGACTCCCTGATATACTACTATAAAAGAATTACATAGCTCTCTCATACATCTCGAGTATGTGGTAAGATTTCCCGAAAATCCTCCGACCACTCCCCTTTGCCCTGACCACCTGCTGTTAATTACAATGCTTCATCCCTGCAGTCACAATGGAGGGTGTGCTGAAGTTCCATCTAGGCAAAAACCTTCTTGACCTTTGGAAGGCCCTTCAAGACACATTTAATATAAATAACCTTTTTACATACAATAGGATTAGGCCGAAACTGGCCCAGGGCACTCTTGCACCGCGGTAACTAATGTTCTAACAAAATACATAACAGTGGTGCCATAGGCTACACAAGTGAATCCACAACAAAACACTTAGGTATACCACAAACCCATTTTAAAGTTTTTCATTAACTTGTTAGTCACTTTACTTTTGACTTAAGAAAAACCGGTACTGCCAATTGGAGAAGCTGTTTAAAGTATCCCCTTACTCTCACCAAATGAACAATAGGTTTACCCTTTAAAATAAATAGATATATTAGGATTCCTTGAATTAAATTTTAGATCCCTAAAGAATTATGTAAGTATCATTCTTTATTGAGATCCATAAGAACTAATACCTATACTTGAGATTTTCTTTTGTTAGCATTATAGTCAGTAATCACAAGATGGCTGCCACCGAGCATTGGCTGATAATTAACTCTGCTTGCTGAAACTGTTTTCCGAAACTGCACATCCTGAAGTTCCTGAAAACCTGCTTACATCAATCAAACAATTGTTGAACTGTATCGATGATTAATAGACCTGCCCTTAATCAAATCCTGAATGAAATTTATGATCCCTATTGTTAAAACTTTATGAATTGATAATTAAAACACATAGCCCCTCACCCATTTACTTGCATCTATCACATTTTCAATAAAAAGGCACGATGATTCCTAGCAGTTGTCACTCTTCAGAGAGTGATCTCTGAGGGAATCCAACTCAGGACGTGCACAAAAAAGGCACCGAGGTCTCAGTCTTTCCTTCCAGTGCTGCCTCTGATGAGTCAACCCACCCCCGCTGAAGCTGCACCCCGCCCGGCAAGACAGAGAGACAGAAAGTGAGAAATCATCCCCCCCCCCAGGGGGGATGGCCACGCTGCAATCCCTTCTCCTCCATTCTCCTCTTGGGATCTTGGGCACGCACGCACATGTGCCTGGCATGAGTTTAAGCCACAGGATCTGGGACTCGAACTGTGGTCGACTACATGGGAGTCAAGTGACATAGCCATTATGCTAACTGCTGGTCCTGAGAGACATTCTTTACAGACTTAAAAAAAAAAGTCATAGAATTTGTCTGTAATCATAAAAGACCCTATATTGACAAAGAAAGTATCAGAGTAGGAGGCATCTCACTCCCTAACCACATAATATATTAAAAAACTGTGATAATCAGGGGCCAGCAGATGGCACAGCAGTTTTGGTACTGGACTCCCAAATGGCCTACTGCAAATCCTGGACCCAGTGACTTGAAACTCATGCTGAGTGCATGTGCGTGTGTGCCCAAGATCCCAGGGGAATGGAGGAAAAGGGACTGTGGCATGACCATCCCTCTGGGGGGGGGGTGATTTCTCAGTTTCTCTCTCACTGTCTCCATCTCTCTCTCTTCATGAACGTATATGCCCTAAGGCAAAAGCCTTTCCCTCACCAGAAAATAAAAAATAAAAAACAGCAAAGCTGTGATCATCAAAACAGCATGGTACTGACACAAAAATAAGTGCATAGGCCAATGGAACTGAATAGAAACCCCAGAAATAAACTCCAAAACATATAACCAACTGATTTTTGACAAAGGGTACTAGGCAATCCAGGGGGAAAAAGTAAAGCTCTTTAGCAAATGATGCTGGAACAACTGGATATCCATGTACAGAAAGATGAAATTAGACACCTATTTCTCACCATTAACCAAAATTAACTTTAAATGAATTGAAGATCTAAACCTAAGACCTCAAACTATAAAACTGCTGGTGGAAAACACAGGGGAAACTCTAGAGATATCAGAGTAGTCAAAGACTTCTTAAATAAGACCCCCAAAGCATAGGCAATAATCTCAAACATAGACAAGTGGGATTGTATCAGGTTATAAAGCTTCTGCACAGTAAAATAAACATTTAGAGTGAATTGACAAATCTTGGAATGGGAGAATATATTTACAAATTGTGCCTCTGATAAGGGACTGATAACCAGAATATACAGGGAACTCAAGCAGCTTACCCCTACCACCAAATAACCCAATTAAAAGAAGGGCAAATGAGCTGAACAGACAACTTGTAAGGAAGATGCAAATCAAAATCACTATGAGATACCACTTAACCCCAGTCAGAATGACTACTATTAAAAAATAGAGAATAACAAGGCTGTGGTGAAAAGAAAATTCTCCTACACTGTTGGTGGGAACACAAATTAGAACAGCCATTGTGAAGAATCATCTGGAGATTCCTCAAAGATCTACAAATAGAACTACCATATAATCCTACAGTTCCACTTCTGGGTATCTACCCAAAGGATAGGAATAAGCTCAGTCAGAAAAACATTTTCTTTTTTTAAAATTTTTATTTTTTTCCTTTTTTTTTTTTTTTTTTTTGAGAGAGGTTTTTGCTACAGGGCATGTGTGCTCGCCAGAAAAACAGAGAGACAGAGAGACAGAAAGTGAGAAATCCCCCCCTCCCGGGGGGATGACCACACTGCAACCCCTTCTCCTCTGTTCTCCTCTTGGGGTCTTGGGCACACATGTACACACACCCAGCATGAGTTTAAGCCACTGGGCCTGGGACTTGAACTGCGGTCGACTACATGGGAGTCCAGTGACATAGCCATTATGCCAACTGCTGGTCCCCAGAAAAACGCTTTCACATTCATGTTTACTGTGGCATTGTTCACAATTGCTAAGACATGGAACCCACCCAAATGTCCAAGATCAGATGAATGGATTGAAAAAAGTGTGGCACATATACACTATGGAGACTATTACTCAGCTATAAAAAAAGGCCCTGACATTTGAAAGAAAGTGGAAGATTTACTGCTAAGAGAAGCAAGCCACACTACGAAAGAGAGACACTGTATGTCCCCAATCAATATATACCAAATGTTGGCACTCTGTGGCAGAAACTGAGACTGGAAGGTATAAAGGCATGGAGAGCAACTGTGGATACTGGAGATAGTGGGTAAGGAGGGTGAGGAGTGGGGGAAGCTGAGAGAGAGAGAGAATCAAGGGAAGAAAGAAAGAAGCAAAACGTTAAAGGAACATAAAAATGGAAAATTATCTGTTGGTGATAATGTGTATGGTAATACCTTTGACTGGACTAATAAACAGTGTATTCATGATAATGTAATGATATACAGTGATTGAATGTAAAAACATTTAAAAAATTACTAAAGTGAGAGTCTCAGGTGATTGAGCCTCAGGGACTTGGAGGCTACACTTTGGCAGGCAACCATCTTGTAGGGTTCCTGGGTGTGTACTAACATCTGTGGCAGCAGAAAAACTGGACTGCGTAGCACAGACACCTCCTGCCAGCTGGTAGAACTCATTTTGCCTGTTCAGAAGAAACAACTTCCTCAGGCTATAGTCTCATAAGAATTGGATAGCACTTTCAGATCTTAAAATACATGCATTGCAATCCAGAGGTTGCATGATCTGACATCATTCTAGCACAGGTTCTTGAATTGCTTTGAAACAGGTGCAAAGTCTGAGGTCGCATTCCTATTCATCATCCCCTCTTCTTGTCCACACAGAGCAATAAATCCATCAGAAAAGCAGATGTTACTGTGGACCCAGGATTCCAAGGTTGTTAATCTTGTTTGGCTTTTCTAGGCTGCTGACAAAAGCTCATTTTAAAAAATGGCCACAGAACTTACCTGGTCCTAGTTTGGCCACAGCATAGAGGAGGTCATAGTTGAGGACTGGTGTGGCATCGCTGATTGGCTGCCAGCCAACAGGAGGAGATGAAGGGGGTGAGATGAGAAACTGTTTGGCAGGCTGCGGTGGAGCCAAATGCAGTTTGTCTCCATCCGTCTCTGGAGTCTGAACCTTTCAAACAGAGTGTAAATGAAGACACTTTACTCATGATGGCTTCAGATGTGCCATGCTGGTACACTAAGAGGTGGAGTTTCATTTTCAGCTTGTGACAAATGAACCAATGAACCAGACTGTAATAATAATTACCATTTAACACATACCATGTACCCAGTTTTCTAATTTAATCCTTGAAACAGTGAAGTTCACACTAGTGTTTGATCAGAATCACCTGGAGGACTTACTGAAACACAGTAAGTGTGGCACATATACACTATGTGGCCGGACCACATCCTGGCTTTTTTGATTCAGATCTGAGGTGGCCTAAGAATTTACACTTCTAACTAGTTCCAAGGTGATATTGCTGTTGCTGGTCTGCTGTTTTACCTCCAAATTCTTCTCTCCCCACCCCCACTTTCTACTGAGGTGAAATTCACATAACATCAAATTAACTGCTTTAAAGTGAACAGTTCAGTGGCATTTAATATATTCCCAGTATGCAACTATCACTTCTACCTAGATCTAAAACCATTTTTAAAGACAACCCCATAGAAAACCCCATACCCATTAAAAAGTCTTTACTCTCTCTTACTAGTTCTTGAAAAACATCAAGCTGCTGTCTATTTTTATGTATTTACTTATTCTGGATATTTCATATAAATGAGATCATAGAATACATAACATTTTTAAAGAGAAGTTTTTTTGGTATAGGGTGTGTGCACTTGCTGGAGAGACAGAGAAAGACAGAGAGACAGAAAGCAAGAAATCACCCTCAGGGGGATGGCCATGTCACAATCCATTCTCCTCTTGGGATATTGGGCATGTACACATATGTGCTTAGCGCAAGTTTCAAGCTGCCGGGTCAGGGACTTTAAGCATAGTCAACCATGTGAGAATCCAGCAACATAACCATTATGCCATCTGCTGGTCTCATGTGACCTTTTGTGTCTTCTGGCTTTCAATTAACATATTTTTAAGGTTTATCTACGTTGTACATATATCAGTATTTTATTCCTTATGAAGGCTAAATACTATTCCACTGTATAAACACATGACAGTTTTTTGCTCCATTTATCCACAGATGGACATTTGGTTGGTCAAGTGTTTTTTCCATTGTGCATAATGCTGCTATGAATATGCAAGTGTATTATTCAATGCATGATGACCTTTTGGTCAACAATGGACTACATTTATGATGGTGGTTCCATAATACTACACACACGGCCTAGGTATACCAACTAAGTTTGTGTAAGAACGCTCTATAATGTGTGCACAATGATAACATCACTTAACACAGTTCTTAGTATCCTGCCTTTAAGTGACACATGACTATATACATATTTAACTATGTGTTTTCAATACCCAGGAGTAGAACTGTTGGATCAAATAAGAATGTAATGTTTACCTTTTTAAAGAACTATGTGGGGTCTTTATTGATGAGATAACTGAGGTTTGTTTAAGTCACAAACATTAGTAGCAATGGTGGGATCTGAACACAGGTCTGGAGCCAAAGTGTGGTTTTTTCACTATGCCATTTCTGTAGAGTTCAAAGGTAGAAATAATGTTTACAGATCACTTAAGAGGTAGCTTAAGGCCTCTAGTGATGAGGTGAGGGTATGATGAGACATTGTAAACACTGATTTCTATTGCTCTGGATTCTGAGCATTGCCAAGAATGATCTATCTTTTTTAGAAATAGTCATCATTTATTTTTGGATGAAAAAAACCACAAGGTTAATTTCCTCATGAATGTGAATTATTGGAAAGGTTATATAGTCCACTAAAACTGCCATATAATTTAAATTATAATTAAAACCCTGACAGGGAGGCTAGAAATGGTTGTGATCAGATCCTTCTCATCATAATTTCTAGTTGGCATTTATTATGCATTTACTAAATACTGGGCATTTTAACACACAATGATTTATTTAATTCTCATATTATCAAGAAGGGATTTATATCATCATCCCCATTTTACAAATAGGGAAACTGACTCTCATGTGACTTCCAGGTAAGAGCCCAGATTGTCAACTCTCACGGCCTGCTTTCTAAGCCACAAGGCTGTCTGGGACTTAAGATATGGATATAATTCTCAGAGAACTAATTATAGAGTATAACTATAAATCAATCTGAAAGTAGAAAGTGTTCCATTTACATTTTAAAAAGGCACAAGATAATGTAGGGCAAAAGGACTAACTTCTGTAAAGAATTACCTTACCTGTGCAAAGTAGAGTTTTAACTTTTTCCCTCTGAACTGAGTTTCATGAAGCTCTATCCTGGCTCGGGCTGCAGATTTAGGATTGCTGAAGTTTATTCGAACACGTCTGAAACTCTTAAACAGCTGGAATGTCACACAGTCATCATAGGTTCGGAATAGTCCCTCAAATTTTTCCTGATGAAAACAAACACAGAGGAAAATCCATTGGTTATGTGTCTTATATAGTGCCAGATCTGACAAAAACTAACTAAAAAAGCTATTTATAACATAAAGTTAAATTAGAACACCAGTAACGTAGTTTTTCATCCATTGGTCTGTTCCTGGATGCTAAACATGTCTGTGGATTCAGTTGAAAGATTTATAACCTGGGTCAAGGGAACTGTGGAGGACCAGCAAATAGGGCTCATGGTTCATGAAGTACATTGAAAATTACACAGCCTGTTGCGTGTTCCTGTGTATATGAGTATTTGTCTAGGTAGAGTGGTCATAGCTGTTACCAAATGATCAAAGGACCTCATTATCTCCAAAATATTAGAGCTACCAAGTAAAGCACATAGTGAACATTAGTGATAATCTTGGAGGCAATTTTCTCATCCCAAAACATGGGATTCCACAACACTGGAACCCCTTCTTGTTGCTCAGTGCCGTATGATTAATTCTAGTCAATGAAGTATGTGTTGAAGGCAGGAAAAAGTACTTGTGAAATATTTCAATCTCTTTCTCTGCAGAGGTTAGCTGTTCCAGATGGTAAAGCTATGGGAAACAGGATTTTCCTCTCCCTGGGTCCTGAGATGCTGTGTGGAGCAGAAATAGCTTTCTACTTTCTCCTGTCCATCTTATGACTGACTTTGCCTTGAAAAGGTGGGCAGGGAACTCACCATTGCATTAAACCACTGGGACTTGGGAATAATTTTCATTCTTGTCACATAGCCACACATATAACAATTCAAAGAAATAATTAAAAATTTTCAATTCAGTACACTTCAATTCAATTAAACAAGCATCTGTTAAATGCTCACTCTTGTAAAGGCCTGGTCTATCTCTAGGCTTTAGGGAAATATAGAGATGAGTACCACATTGTTCTGACCCTCAATAATCTAACAATCTAACATGAAAGGCAGATACAGACATAAAGGGAACACCCAGAAGGCTGGGGAAAGTCATAAAAGGAAAATTAGTGAATTAAAAAAAATACATATTATTAATACCATCTGGCTGGTTCCTCTTAGCCTTAAAAACATCCTTTTAAGGAACTATATGGGCTTTTATTGATGAAGTAACTAAGGTTTATGAGTGCATGTTAAGCTACTACTTTTTAAATTTTTATTTTTATAAAGCAAAAATTACAGAATTAATTTTTTTGGCAGAAAACTTTACATTCTTTTGTCTGTTAAATGTTTCTTCCTTTTGCCCCTCACAGCCACCCTCTACCACCCACTCTCTACCATCCACTACTCTGTGTTTTTAATGGAGAAATTACCACTTAAAAAAAAGCCTTCTATTAAAACAAACCCCTGATTTTTTTATTTCAACAGTAAAAGTTATTTTGTCATAAGAGTGAAAAAGAGTGGGAATGAAGATGCACAAAAGATCAAGACTTATAGAATTTTATCTTGGAATGGACTTAAGAAATGATAAATTCAACCTCTTCCTCCTCCCCTCCATCATTTTACAAATCAGGACCCTGAGGTTAGAAGACATAAGAACCCATTCATTGGCCCACGGTCAGTCGCAGAGTGAAGAGTGGACCACTGTCCTTGTGACCCTGACTACAGAGAATCTTTGACCTATATAGAGAATATACTGCTAGATTGACAGGAAAAGATGGTTGTTATAAGAGCAAGAAAGGGATAGTAGTAAACTGACCCAAGGCCAAAGTGTCATCACATCTAAAAGGATCATTGCAGTGATGTAGGGCTTTAAGACCACTAACTTTTTATTTATTTATTTATTTATTTATTTATTTATTTATTTATTTATTTATAATATGTGCTTGGTCAAGTTCTTTCTTTTACTCTTTCTTTTACTTTTTCTGTTACTTTTCAAAATATATCTTGATTATCTTATTTTTATTAAGTTTTTATTACATTTAATCACTGTACATCTTTACAGTATAGAAAGTGAATTTTCTCAACATGAAAACACTGCACCTTATTCAAAGATATTACTGAATACATTATCATCAACAGGTAATTTTCCATTTTAGCATCCCTTAAATGTTTTGCCTTTTGCTCCCCTTATTTCTCTTCCTCCTACTTCCCATTGCTCACCCTTCTTCCACACTGTCTTTTGTATCCACCTTTACTTTCCATGCTTTTATATCTTCCAACCTTTAAGTTTCTACCACAGAGTGCAGACATTTGGTATATGTTAAGAGGGGATATATAATACCCCTCTCTTTCATAGTCTGGCTTCTCTCAGCATTAAATCTTCCATATTTAATAATTTTTTATCAAATACCAGGGTCTCATTTTTTTTTTTTATGGTGGAGTAGTGTTCCACAGTGTATATGTCCCACAATTTTCAATCCATTCATCTGTTCTTGGACATTAGGGTTGATGCCATGTTTTAGCAATTGTGAGTAACACTGGAGTAAACATGGATGTGCAAGTGTTTTTCCAACTGAGCATACCCTTTGGGTAGATACCTAGGAGTGGAATTGTAGGATCATATGGTAGTTCTATTTTTAGGTCTTTTATTCTCCATAGTACCTGTACTAACTTACATTCCCACTAACAGTGTAGCAGGGTTCCCTTTTCAGCACAGACTCATCAACACTTACTTTTTATTTTTTTAAAATCTTAGCCATTCTAACTAGGGTTAGGTGGTATCTTATTGTGGTTTTGATTTACATCTCTCTTATGATAAAGGACATTGAGCATTTTTTCATATGCTTTTTGGCTATTCATATGCCTTCCTTAGAAAGTTGTCTGTTCAGCTCATTTGCCATTTTTTATTAAACAAGTTGATTTATTTTTTAAAAAATTATTTATTTATTCTTTTTTTTTTTTTTTAAATTTGACCAGAGAGAAACATAGAGAGAGAGAAGTGAGAAAAAAAGCCACCAGGTCTGGGACTTGAACTGCAGTTGGTCATATGGGAGTGTCCAACACCTTAGCCACCAAGCCACCTGCTGGTCCCATCATTCGCCCATTTTTTAATTGGATTTTTTTTCAAGTAAGTTGCTTGAGTTCCCAGTATATTTTGGTTATCAGTCCATTATCGGGAGCATAGTTTGCAAATATATCCTTCCATTCCGAGGGTTGCTGATTCACTCTAATTACTGTTTCTTTTGATGTGCAGAAGCTTTTTAATCTGATGTAATCTCACTTGTCTATTTTTGAGATTATTGCTTGTGCTTTGGGGGTCTTATTTAAGAAGTCTTTGCCTAATCCAATGTCTCTAAGAGTTTCCTCTGTTTTCCACCAGCAGTCTTATAGTTTGAGGTTTTATGTTTAGATCTTTCATCCATTTTGTGTTGATTTTGGTTAATGGTGTGTGTGTGGGGTGTAATTTCATTTTCTTTATGTGGATATCCAGGTTTTCAGCACCACTTGCTGAAGAGATGTTCTTTTCCCCCACCAAATTGTCTTGTGCCCTTTGTCAAAAATCAGTTGGCTGTATGTTTGGGGTTTACGTCTGGGCTCTCTGTTCTGTTCCATTAGGCTACATGCCTGTTTTTGTGCCAGTACTATGCTGTTTTGATTATCACAGCTTTGTAATGTATTTTGGGATCAGGGAGTGAGATACCTCCTATTCCACTCTTTTTGTGCATTCTTCCTCTGGTTATACAAGGACTTTTTATGATTCCAGACAAATCTTTTGTCTTTTTTTTTTTCTAATTCTGTAAAGAATGTCTCTGGTAATCTGATCAAGATTGTATGAATTTTTAAAGTTATTTGGGTAGGATTGATATTTTGATTATATTAATATGATCACTGATTTCTAAGACTACACAGGAAGAGTAAATCAAATGTCAAGGAGGTTCTTCCTGCTTCTAGGGGCACCCAGATGAACTTATCTCAGGCTCTTAAGTCCATGCCTGAGATCCTTCCAAACTTTGATGCCCTTTCTGAGACTCTCCCAGGATATGGCTCTCTATGGTCCCTCCCATTTTTGACAAAAGCATCTGTAGATATGCTTTTTCTCTCTCTCTGTCTTTTTTTATTTTGTAGAGGTTTTTGCTATAGGGTGTATGTGCTCACCAGACAGACAGAGAGACAGAAAGTGAGAAATCAGCCCCCAGGGGGATGGTCATGCCGCAATCCCTTCTCCTCCATTCTCTTCTCGAGATCTTGGGCATGCACGCACACACGCCCGGCGTGAGTTTTAAGCCACCGGGTCCGGGACGCGAACCACGGTCAACTACGGGGGAGTCCAGCAACATAGCCATTACACTAACTGCTGGTCGCCGACATGCTTTCTCTTTTATATCAGCACATAAGTCCTCTCCACAAAACTTAAAGAAAATATTCAGAGTTTTTGTTCTATTTTACTTCATAACACTTATGGAGATTTGTGTGTTCTTTCTTACCTTTTCAGGCTCTGTTCTTATTCTCATTTCCTTATCAAGAGCAAAACATAAATCTTATCTTATGAAGAGCAATTTTTTTCTTATCTGCCAAGCCTTGGGATAAGCCAGCTCACAGGCTTGGAGCTTCAGCTACCACTCTAAGGGGGCTCATTATGGAATTACTTCCCAATAATATTGTGTTTTAATGAACAAAAATCCTGAAAAATAAAATGCTTTCCTTAAAATGAGAGTACTCTGAGCTGGTTAAATCATAGTTGGTGCTTTAACTTAGGGAGTTTTGAGGAAGTAGAGGGATTCAGATGAAAAGTTCTTGTTTCTTTGTAGACTACATTTTTTAGGACAAAGTCCTGGGGTCTTCTTTATGCCAGTATGCTTTTTCTATTTCTAATTTGTGAATTCCACCTTCCCATCATGTCTCCAAGGTCTAACCATGAGCAGTTAAGGGTCAGCCTTTGAGGGAGAAGAGCTCTTTTTCTTTGAGTTGATTCCTCTCCTTTGATTTTATAGTTGTTTTTTTATGTCTCACATTTCAGTTTATCAGAGCTGTTTGGCTGTTAAGAGCCTAGATTAGGGGAAAAGAATCAGGAGTCCAGAGTTTTGGGCTTAGCAGAGGAGTAACAGTAAATGACCATGTACTGTC